AGTAACTTCTCAACAAGCTCAGCCACAGAGCTACAGAACATCGATACCTCCAAGCGTTTTTCGTATCGCGTGTTACGTACGTATCAGACCCCTTTCCAGAACAACACCTTGCCATGCTCCCAAAGGGGGAGGTTGGTGGGCTTTGCCCAAACACAGGGCTTCAGAGCTGACAGCGGTAAGAGCCGCAGCGCCTCAAGGACAGTGACGAGACTGAACAAGAAAAGCACAAGCCCAAAGGGGGAAGACGACGCGCAGACAAAGGGTCGCAGCACTCGTGATGTGGGGAAAGCCCTCTGCAAGGGAGAGGGAGAACAAAGCACATCCGTGGAGGGAGGCACGCAGTGCGGGAAATACCCCAGGTTGTACTAAAGTTCGCAAATATCCAGCTTGCCCGAGTAGCTTTGTTCTTCATATTTTTAAGGAGCCCATTCGTTCAGTGCCAATCAGGAACAGAACTGCTTATTTCCAGGTTCACCCAAAGGTGAAGCAGTTGCAGCTGGTAAGAGAACAGGATACTTTTTGTGACCGTATTATGAATCTTTTTCCCTTCAAATTCCACCTCTAAAACATCTTTTGTGGCCAGCGGAGCCCACGTTAGCACTGGGTAAACGCGCTGTCACTGGCAATCTGCCCCAGACACAAGTCATTACAATACCAACCTTTTCGAGACCTTTTTAATCTCACAACTTGTCATCAGGACGTTCCCCTCCAGCCAATATCAAGTCTATTTTAACAGGTGTGTTATTGCAAAGGAAAAGAAGCTCACGGCTTTCAGTTATATTGCAACAACCGGAGAGAAGGAGATTGTTTACGTCTGTACAGGTCACCGTGCAAAGCTGACTTACTGATCAATAAGTCTTTTCAGAAGGAAATTAAATGATTTCAAGTCACCAACGAAATCTGCAGCATTGTTAAGCATAAATAAAATTAAAGGATACGACGTCCTTTGCTAATGTCTTCTGAAAAGATTTCCCTACCTTTAACTGGGACTTGTCTGAAATTGTGTTTTCTTTACCAGAAAATCTTATCAAGATTAAGTGATCCACAGCAGAGAAAAATCACCATAGCACACATGAAATCAGTACTTACACCTTCAAACGAAAGACCGGGCTTTTGATAGCCAGCTAAAGCAATGGATAAAAAAAAGCAAATTTGGAAAAAACAGAATCTTTTATCTCCACTGCCAGTTTCAAAAATCTATACTCTCTGGTTTTGAGACACTACTCTCATCCATTAGTTTTCTGCTGAGAAAAATTAATGATGTGTCCATTACAACGGTTCAAGGATTATACTATACTTATAGTAACAATTCTGTAACCCAAAAACCTGAAACTGTGAAAGCTTATTTGAAATTCATCCCATGTTATGGTGGTTACGCGCCACCTGTATTTGGTAGCAAAAATCCACATAGATCACTTGTGTCTCCCCCCAGAAAAACGAAAAAAAAAACAGAGCACAATTTTTGCAATCCTACTTCTAAGCACTTTCTGAGTGGGTGACACATCACGTAACACAAAGCACTGCGGGACGGGCCCTGCTGTATTGCTTTAAGATAACTCCGCATGGAATTTAACCAAACCGTCCCTCTTCAGCACAGCTAGCGAGAAGGCCAGCTCCCTTTTCAGGTGCTGAGATTATTTTTCCAACTGACATTGTGTGAACGCGTAGAACACTAATATTCCACGACTTGCAAGGAATAAGTGGAATCACAAGCTAAGCAGTGACTCAGTCTTCTAACGCAAGCAGCAATTTTCTGATTATAAACCTCCTTTCCGGTCATTCTTTAGGCATATTCACACTGACCACGCTACTTATCTATGTTTGCGTTACCCTTCTTTGTTCTTCTTCTGCATCAGCAAACAGCTTGCGGATGTTGGCCTCGGATTCGCCCACATATTTATTGAGGATTTCTGGACCATTGACCACCTTTGGTTCTCTGGCATTCAGCATCTTGCCAATCTGTCTGGCCATGAGTGTTTTACCACAGCCTGGAGGTCCGTACAGGAGGATGCCTTTCACATGCTTGCAGCCTAGAACAAGAGAGAACAAGTTCAGAGAGCAGGCTCACGGCGGAGACGGCAAGAGAGTAAAGAGGGAATTGCTGCTACAGCAGGGGTGCTCCTACAGGCAGCCGGCAGAGACGCGCGTCAGCCTTAGCTCTGCTCCGTGCCTTTAGCAGCGAAATTCAAACACGGAATTGCCGGGCTGGATCAGAGTCGTTCCATTGATCCGGCAACGGCCAAGAACAATAATCCATCGAGCGGCACCAACGCTCTCCCGTGCATTGGGCACGCAAAGTTAACAGCGAAGGACTGGAAGCCTGAATCATAACTTCTGGTTAGTAGTGCAAAGCAACAGAGATCACCGGGTGAACAGCTGAATAACACACTTTCCAGCTCAAGAAAACCCACAGGATGCTGATCGCCGAGGGATGCGGTAGTGAGGGGCTGCCGACACGTCTACACCCCCACACGCCCTGCACAGCGAGCAAAGGTACACCCGCAATGAGGGACAAGCACGTCCGCAGCCGCTTCACTTCTCTCTGCTCCCAGAGGGAGACACAGTGCAGAGCAAGTTTGGATACTGTCTGGTCACAAAGTGGCGAGGAAACAGAAGAGAGAAATAATTTAACATATTTTGTCTAGATCCTCGTGTTTCCAGCAGACCTCCTTTTTCTATTTCCCAGTTGATATTGAAAACCAAAGAGTAAACACAAAATTACGAGTAAACAAATTTATTTTCAACATTTAGGACGCAGCAGGTATTTTGGTAATTTCTTTCTTCCAACACAATTTCAAGCACAATAAAAAGTATCAGTTCCTCACTACATCTCTTCACTTTGCCCATGGAAAAGACAGACGTGCAGGTAGCAAAGGACTCGGCCTACGTAGACTCAAGATGTCCTTCTCACATTTTAGACCATCTTGGCCACACACAGCACCAAGCTGACAGACTCCTGCACCTACAGCCCTTCCTCTGCAGTAATAACTACCGCATGGCACCGTCATCCTCACCCACCAGACCAGGGACCCCCCAGGAAAAGAGACCTCGGGGAAGCGTTAACCACTATAGTCTATGGGAAAACAGCACATTTGGAATCCACCTTGACAAAAAACTCGACTTTGAATGCAAGTGTGTCACTGCAGAGGTCGGGAATTCAGTAGAACCTTCTCCCCGCCTCTTGCTCCAGCTCACTGCTGGACAAAAGCCCTACACGTGTCCTCCGGACAATAAGTGAGGAACAGAAGGTATCTCTATATTTGAAGATTAAAAAGCCCCAATGTTTTGCTTCAGGAAAATTTATCTAAAACCTTGTAGGTGACCCTGCTCTGGCAGGGGGGTTGGACTAGATGAACTCCAGAGGTTCCTTCCAACATTCTGCGATTCTTAGAAATCTCTAAGTATTAATTGTTCAAGGAAAAAAGCAACACATTAATTAGTGGAAACTGTTCCACGCTGTGGATGACATTCATAATGCACTCATTTTACACTACATTCCTGCAGTTTGACTTTTTTACAGATGCAAACCACCCAACAAGAGTCCTGCAGTGCTCAAGATCCACATTAAAAGCAAAGACCAAGAAGCAGCAAGCAGAGCTCAGGTTTAGAGGACCAGAGTTCAGTTTCTCCCATCATCAAAAGTTTAACGAGCTTGGGCACATTGAGTTATTTGTCACCCATGTAGAATGACTTCCCTCCTAGTCTCCGGCTCGTCTCAGCTATGTGGTAAGTTCACCCCATACACCAGAGTCCTCACAGCAACGTCCTGCCTTTAACGAACAAGTACTCTTAGAATCATAGAATGGTTTAGGTTGGAAAGGACCTTGAAGATCATCAAGTTCCAACCCCCCTGCCCTGGGCAGGGACATCTCCCACCAGCCCAGGTTGCCCAAGCCCCGTCCAACCTGGCCTTGAACACCTCCAGGGATGGGGCCTCAACAACCTCTCTGGGCAACCTGGGCCAGTGCCTTACAACCCTCAAAGTAAAAAACTTCTTCCTAATATTTAATCTAAACCTGCCCTCTTCCAGTTCTTCCCTCTTCTCCTGTATCAACTTACCGACACTCAACTACGATTTCATTCACTCCCAAATACTACAGCGATAAACAATTTCAAGCTGAATAATTGCTCAATACAAAAGAATTTCCATTATCCGCATGCACTGCTCTCGCTCTCTTTCAGGTTGTTCGTACCCTGAAATGAAGTTTCAGGAGAACATCGCTATGAGGAGCACCTGATCCCTCCCCAAACCCCAGAGCGCGATAGAGCTGCATTGAATAAGCACAAAAATAAAGCTGAAAGGTTTTTCTGGGCTTCTCTGCAGATAAAAAATTTACTACAAAAACCAAGAGATGTAGCTAAGAAGAATTCATTAGTCAACTTTCAGGCATCTACGAGTCAAAAACACAAACAACATATACTGTCAGTAAAGACAAATTTCACACAGGAACGACTGAGGCATAAATAAATTAAAAGCTATTCCTGTCAAATCAATGTCAGGAAAGGCATTGTCAGCCTCTTTCGCGGAGGAACATGATCACCTATGTAGCCAAACGGCACAAAGCAGGATTTTGATGATGAGTGATGCTTTGAAGGGAAATCCCAAGCAAACTGATGCTCAGACAGCTCCACCGTGCTCAAGCAAGAGAGGCTCTCAAAAGGCTACCGGCAAGTCAGGGCACATGTGCACCAACAGGCAGGAAAACTGTGCTGAGTATCGTTTTTCTCCAGTACACCTTCAGAAAAGAAACACAACTACAGGTCCTCATTTTTTTTTCTAGTTTTCTTGCAATTCACAATCTCTCTCCTAGAAGGAGGTACAACCTGGTTATAGGCACTGGAAGCTGCTCTTCTACAGCCCAAAGGATCATAGAATGGTTTAGGTCAGAAGGGACCTAAAAGCCCATCCAGTCCCACCCCCTGCCCTGGGCAGGGACCCCTCCCACCAGCCCAGGTTGCTCCAAGCCCCGTCCAACCTGGCCTTGACCCCCTCCAGGGATGGGGCAGCCACAGCTTCTCGGGGCAACCTGCCCCAGGGGATCACCACCCGCACAGCCAAGAATTTCTTCCTCAGATCTCACCTCAATCTCCCCTCTTCCAGTTTGAAGCCATTCCCCCTTGTCTTATCACTCCATGCCCTCGTAGAAAGTCCCTCCCCAGCTCTCCTGGAGCCCCTTTAGGCACTGGAAAGGGCTCTGAGGTCTCCCCTTTTTGGCCTTCTCTTCTCCAGGCTGAACCCCCCCACCTCTCCCAGCCTGTCCTCCCAGCAGAGGGGCTCCAGCCCTCCCAGCATCTCCGGGGCCTCTTCTGGACCCACTCCAACAGGTCAATGTCCTTCCTGTACCGAGGACTCCAAAGCTGGATGCAAAGAAAACTGAACTTCTTGAAAAGCTCAAATATTCCCCCCCCTTTGCAAGGGCCAATGCGCTGCACCTCAACTCTCATCTCCCATAGCAAGTGCGTATGGAAAGCAAAATGCAAACTGGTAGGGTTACTGGGGAGATAAGACTTTGGAGCCCTCTAAGTAAGACCAGAGACCCCTCTAGAGCAAAAATACCAGCTCTGGGACACAGCAGGTTCCCAGAGACAACATAACAACTACCAAACGTTACCCAGAGAAGCTCAGCAGTGCTGAGCCCACGCTCAGACTTCAGCAAGTAGCACCCCACACGTGTGTTGCCCCACATCTGAACATCAAAGATATTACTGACCATCTGCTGCAAGACTTGGTCGCCACTGAATGGGCAACATTTAGAGCTGGGGCTCAGCCAGGTGGAAGAACATTCCTGAAACCAAAGTAATTAGTTCCTCTTTAAACAAGATTGCCACAAGCTACGCCAGTAGAGATTTCCCTGTACAGCCATGGTCACCTGGCTAAAATTAAAGTTTTAAACACAAGCGGGACTTTATTTAAAATAGACAGGTGATGACAAACCACAAATGTTATGTCTCAAATCACAGTGGGATCCTGTGCACCACACAGGAATTTTGATTAAGTTTATCTCCCTTTTGCTGATTTCACCAATGCAGCCCAAATGTCAATACTATTATGAGAATCTTATAAACGCAAATTATTAGCAGTGCAGACATCTCCAACTCGGTAAACTTACCATTAGGACTCCAAATCAAAGGTCATTCTGTAATGCGATACTTAATTATGCCATTTAATGACATACAGTTAGAGGCTGAATAGGTACGTTAACGGGAACTAAAATACACCAATATGGGAAACGTTCTACACAAAATATTAGGGAAAAATCATAAAAACTGGTAAGAATGGGAGAGTTGTTAGTGTTCCAAAGGGAAGTCAAACTCTATTTTGAACCAGAATGACACTTACCCAAAGACAAGATGAAGTCTATTTGCTCAACTCTCGCTTATTCACTTTTTTTTTTTTTTTTGAAAGATCAGAAGAAATGGTTTAGTATAACAGGGATTTTCTACTTGGGAGTGTAATTCCCCTTTTAATTAAAATCAAAGCATTCTGGTGTGATGGTATCATTCAGACGCACCTATCGGGAATCTACACCGATAGTAACGCACCGATCCTGAGTACATCAGGGAGCGATGCTTATCTTTGCACATCAATCTTCAAGCAGGTTCGAGTAAGATCAGGGTTCCCAGACTTCACCTGCCACACAGACAAAACTTCCCCCAAAAATATAGCTGGGTGGAATTTCCCCCCCCCCTCACCCTGTGAGCCCGGCTTTATTCCGGCCTCCATCACTGCCTCCAGTTAATATTCCTGTAGGATTTACGTGCTACCGACAAGGAGCAAGGCTGAAGGAACTTGTTTCTGCTTTTCATTCAAAGCTGGGACAGGCGAAGGGCGACACCTGAAACAGAAGGTTTTATTTTAAGCGGACTCTCAACAGCCAGGTTTGTTTAATCTATCAAATCATTTGCCAACGTCAAGAGAAGACGATGACATCACTAAGTTCTCTCTAGAACAGCCTTCTCCTCATGTCTTGTTTGGCTGTGAGAAGTTTAACATGCACATATATAAGGAGGCAATACGTAGATTTATGGC